AATTCGCAAAATTTGTATTTCTGCTTTGAGTCGACTCAATTCACAAAATTTAGTTATTGTGTGGTCCATTCCCAGCGTGTTCAACCCACACCATCTATGACCGCCAGGCTTTCCATCTAGCGTTCGTCGCCAGCGGCAGCGGTGACGACGACGTCGGTGGCAGCAGCATAGGACACTCTCCTGCAGAGAAGCTTCATGCCAACATCCACAACACAAGCCCAGACGTGTGAGCGCAAACCAAGTCTCGCCGTTTACTCGAACATGACGCGGGTACACTTACTTTCAGTATGATTGACTGATTTTGGATAGAGAGAGGATGCTCCCAAGTCGGATGTTGTCCGATCGCCTGTTGTTCAACTGGAATCGGACCAATCGCAGCGTGGCAAACATGCATGTCTGTGCTCATCGCCAACACCTGCGAGCGAGAGAAGGGAAGAGTTGGGGAAGCGAGGTCTGCATTCCTGTGCGCCATTCCGCCAGAGGCCCCGGATCCGAGCGCGCATGACCCACGACGGCTGCCTCTCGCTCTTGCTGCTGGCCTTGTGCAGTCTCACGCTCCACGTCGGCGTCCAGGCCTTCGCTCTTGACTTTCGAGGTAGGCAGCGTCTCGTCGTGAAGCGAAGGGATCACTTGAGCCTCATTGTTGTCTGTCATTGCAGTGCCTGGTCTCAATACGCTGCATGAAGCTATCTGTTCGTATCTTGGCTGCGAAGCAGAAGCTCAACTCGATGTCTCTGCGATAAACGACGACCTGTTCCCGACCGAGATGCCACTGGAGCTGCTTGGAGAGGAAACCGTGCGCAAATGTACGTGTCAGCAATAGGTTTTACCGACGTAGAGCTGTTGAAATTAATTGTGACTTGTACAGACCCTGCGTTCCCTCACTCGCCGCTGCTAGTGGCGGCAGGCACGCGTGATGCTGTAGTGCTGCGTTGGCGAAGCTTCGAGACGACCTTGTGGCCTGTAGAGCGCTTCGTTCTCGAGCGCTATCCAGACACAGAAGACCAGCCACAGTGGACTACACTGCTGGACGAGAACACGTCGGAATTAATCGACTTGGACGTCCAACCCGGACGGAGATACGCCTACCGTGTCCAAGCCATTTGCAGGGAGAATATATCGAGTGCGTACGAATACCACTGGACTCAGGTAGACGACGTGAAGAGCAGCACAGCTACGTGTCGTGTGCTGAGCTCAGTAGGAACACTCAACGCCGAAGGGCTCCGCTCGCTAGGCCTTATCTTCGCATGTTTCTTGACGGTCTATGGCCTCATGCGGGCCAGTGTTATGGGCGTCCAGGGCACGCAATCTCGTAGTTATCGTCTCAAGCGAATAAAGAAGTCCACGTCCGAGGGAGTGGCTCCTGCGGTCAGTGTGTCTACAGGACAGGGGGTCTCCATGTTGCCAAGACGGTCTTCAACGTCGACGTCCAGCTCGTCACCGTCCATAGAGGTCGATCCGAGCCTACGCGGCAGCCTGTTCGAAGCCACCCCCGCCAGCACGACAGCTAATACGAGCTTGACCCGTGCGCACAGCAGTATGGACGCTGCGCCGCGCCACGAGTCGTCCCAGACGTTCCGACCTATGTCGCGCTCGATTGGGACTATTGCAGAGAAAATCATTGCGTGCCAGCATTGCGGAAAGCGTTTCGGACTCTTCCGGAAACGGTATCTCTGTGATATCTGCCACTCCGTGTCGCTGTGTCGGAAATGCGGCTACCAGGCGTCTGTCGACAGCTTCGCCAACGCGAGGACCGGGATGCAGATGAACTCGGTCGGAGGCCGCGGAATGGGTCGACGCAGGTTAAGTATCAGTCAGCAACAGCAAAAGAAGCTCAAGATCCGCACTATTTGCAGGAACTGCTGTGACGACATGTACCGCTACTCCACCCACGCGAGTGTGAGACCGTCGTATATCCCTTCAGAAATGTAAGAAGTGATCGTAGCACGTTAATGGTTATCAATTATCTTGTCCTCTTGTTAACAGTCTGCATTTCGCGCCTTGATCCTCGTTATTCGAAGCAGTAGCGATGACGATGAGGATTCCTGGAGCTTCTCGTCCAACTGTCGGGACAAGCAGGGCCTGCAGGCAAGCAGCAATCACTTGCAACAACTTCAACCGCCCGTTGACTCACTGCCGATGCCGGCTCGGAGGGCTCTCCCTGGATATTGAGATTGTTGAAGTGATCAACTCGTTCAAGAATGGCCGGTAGCGTCGTGTAGGTTGCCAAGAAGTGCCTCCTTCGTCGTGACTGGGTGCGCAGGATCTGCATTGCCGCAATCAGCACGGCAGCTTACCCCAACTATTGTAATCACTTCCATCAGACCATTCCCTGGCGAATGAACTCGCCGACAAGGACACGCAGCGGCCTGCATTCATGTTTGTCTGCGACGCAAAGTTACAGCCTCTCTCTTGTTTGGTTGCGCTCACACACGCTAGCGTCTAGTCCAGCGAGCGGCCTACGTCTCACCCGATAAAGCTGCAAATGATGAAGCTCGGCGCGAACTGCAACGGCAGCGGAGAACCCAAACAGGCGGAAGGCTTGCAAGTCGCATGTTGAAGTTGCCGACCCGCCATTTTTAGCGCACTGGTGACGATTTTCGAAGAGGAAAACTCCTACCGCAAGCAGCACTCCATGCACGCATTCCAGGCGCCTATCCCGATACATGCACGACGAGTATGGTGGCAGAAACAGCAACGCCAATAGAGCTCGTCCAAAGCAGCACGCGCCTAGGGAAAGACGGCGCGTGGCGGGCAAGTTGCAGTGAGGAGCAGCTGCAGCAGCACATGTATACAGTATACACCCCGGAACTTATCTCAAATTAGCCGGCGACTTAAGTGTGCGAGTGACGTGACGGTCCGCGCAGTCGTCGTTGTTGCACGTTGCTGCGTGCCAGTGGTGCTGCCGCTCCGCCATTCGAGCCAACCCGAGCGGCCACTGGCTGACACGCGCCAATCAATCGGACATACGCGTTGCTCGTGGCGGCGCAGGAGCCGGTGCGCCGGTGCGATGCCTCAACGCTGCAAGCAAGCGCCATCGACAGCGGTGCTGAAAAAGTGAAGGTTCATTGAAAGTCTCGGCTATGCAACATAGCTACACTTGTCGCAGGGTACGTAGTGTTCTTACCTTCGACATCTGATATCACAACTTCATAAATAAATTCACCCTTATCAATTAGTATTGTCGAGATTTCATTCAGAATCTGCAGACAGTGAAGAAAACAGTCTGAGAGCGGGCACATGTAACCTCAAAAACTTAATTCTAAGATGTCACCTCGTCTGCTTCCATGGTTTGATGGGTTGCTGAAGTATACATGTACGTTTGTGTACACACCCGCCCCTTCGGAGAAAGCGCCTCATTCGGCAAGTTGCAAGCAAGAACACACCCCGATCCAAGAAACCTCCGATAAAGCATGAGTGAGCTCCAAGGCCGCGTGTTCGCCCGCCAGACCGCGTTCAACGCGCTCGCTGAGGACCTGCGTGAGCAGACGGCGGCCGCGCAGACGTATCTGACCGAGAAGAAGGCCGAGATCTTCACGGTGCACCACTCAGCGCTTGTCAAGGTGCCTCAGAGCGTCCGTGGCAAGGAGCTGGTGGACTTCCTGGACAAGTGGCTCACGCCTGAGGAAGAGAAGGCGGAGGAAGAGACCACCGCCGAGCCGGAGAAGAAGGAAGAGGCCGCTACAGAGGAGAAGGAAGCCCCCAAGGCTGACGAAGAGGCCCCCAAGGCTGAAGAGGAGGCTCCTAAGACCGAAGAGGAGGCCCCCAAGACCGAGGAAGAGGCTAAGGCTGAGGAAGAAACCCCCAAGGAAGAGACCGAAGCTGCTAAGACCGAGGAAGCTCCCAAGGAGGCCAAGAAGGAAGACAAGAAGAAGGAGAAGAAGGTGGAGACGCCCTCTCCGTTCCGTGCGCGTGCCAAGGAGATCGCTGAGGCGCTGGTACTGTCTGGTTTCATCACGTCATACAAAGATCGTGTCAAGAACTACCTGGCCGAAGCTCCTAAGGAGTATGTGACGGACAACGAGCTGTTCGTACCGCTTTCCGAAGCCATTACGGAGTCCAAGGATACGGCGGTGTGGAACGTGGTGGACGGCGCCATCTACGCGTCCCAACTGAAGCGCAAAGCCGGTGTATTCTCGGCCTTCACCCAGGGCAAGGACGTGTACGTCGTGGCCAATGAGAAGACGAGCAAGATCTACTTCTTCGAGTCCGACGTGGCTCGTACGCTATTGGCCGAATACGCCGCTGCCGACGGCTTCGTCCAGTTCGATAACGCGCACTTCCAGTACGGCGTCAAGCTCGTGTACGGCGACAAGTTCGAGCTGCTGAACTTGCTGACTAAGGAAGGCCAGGAAGCTTTCCTTAACACACTGCTGAACGTCGGTGTGCAGTACCGTGAAGTGTACAACCTCGCAGCTGAGGAGGCCAAGTCGTTCTACGAACTCAAGGACTTTGACATGGACAAGAAGGAGGTGAGTATGGAGGACTACAAGGGCAAGGTGGTGCTGGTAGTGAACGTGTCAAGCAAGTGTGGTCTGACCCCCACGAACTACCCGGAGCTGCAGCAGCTGCACGAGAAATACCAGGAAGAAGGTCTCGTGGTGCTTGGCTTCCCGTGCAACCAGTTCGCTGGCCAGGAGCCTGGCACCCACGAGGAGATCCTGGAGTTTGTGAAGCAGTACAACGTGACGTTCCCGCTGTTCGAGAAGCACGACGTGAACGGCTCAAACGCTCGCCCGGTGTTCACGTACTTGAAGGCGAAACTGCCTGGCACGTTCGGAAACTACATCAAGTGGAACTTCACCAAGTTCCTGGTGGACCGCAACGGCCAGCCGTACAAGCGCTACGCGCCGAAGGATCTCCCGCTGTCCTTCGAGGAGGACATTAAGGAGCTGCTGGCCAAGGCGCCGGAGCCGGAGAAGGCGGAGGAAGAGACCAAGGAAGAAGTCGCATCGGCCAAATCGGACGAGGAGACAGTTGATAAGGAGACGACGGAGGACAAGACCGAGAAGAAGGAAGAGGCTGCGACTGAGGAGGTGGCAACGAAGGAGGAGGCCGTCAAGTCGGACGACGTGGCCGTCGCTGTGACTGCGCCCTGAGCGGAGACTACGCCGGACCCGAAAGAATTCCATCTTGCTGCGTAGTTTTTTCATCGATTTTTATTGGTACTTTTTTGTAATAGCAAAGTCAGCACTTGCAGATTTTCTCTTTTATTGTAAAGATCATTAAGAGTGATGGTCAAACTTCAACTTGTTTTCGGTGGTCGTTTGCGGTATCCGGATAGTCGATGCAAGTCAAAACTCACAAACGCTGGAATTGAAGATGGCGCCATTACGAGAAGGGGATCGAACCCATTCAAGTCACACCGTTAGGTTGATGCCTGCTGCGAATTCTTACTCTCACTATCCAATTTGCCACGATGAGTGCAGCGCAAACCATGGCCGCTTTGGCCGAAAGCGCTCGAGAAACGGAGCGGATCGAGCGCGAGCGTTTGGAACGAGAGCCGTCTTTTGTGACTGCGCTGTCACCTTCATCTGCTGGTACTCCACCTACTGAAGGCTCGTGTCTGCCTTCCTCTGTAGCGGTGGAAGGGCGTGTTTTTCGTCGACTGCAACGGTTCCATTTACTGCCGTCGGAGCTCAAGGCGCAGTCTGACATGGTCGCGACGTACTTGCTGACACCAAAAGTGCGTCTTCAAGTGTTCGAGCAGCGGAAGCATTGGTGGCAACATCCACTTCACCTTGCGAAGGCTGGGCACGGGACGTTCATACAAGGTCGCAAGCTTCTGAAGGCCGTCCTGAAGTATCTGTTGCTGTCCCACGCGGCCAATAACACTCTCCGTGACGTTCAGCAACTGGCGGAAGGACTGATACTTAGTGGTTTTCTGTCACCGGCACACGAGGCGCCAAACGCCGATGATGAACCTATCGAAGAGCTGTACATACTAGATGACAGCTACTACGAACTCGTAGCTCCTGGAGCCAGCTCTGCTGCCTCGACACCGAATGCAGTAGCGTCCGCTACTGTTGATACTACCTCATCCACCACATCAAGTGCCATAATCTTGCCCGGACACGTGCGATCACACCATTCCAAGAAGCCGACGCGACAACCCGAACATTCGCTCTCTGTCTGGGCAGTGACGGACGGCGCAACTCGTGCAGGGTTTGTACAGCGTAAATGCGGTCGAATCCACGTGCGAAATCTTCTCGGGATTGCATCGAATACAGCCAGTTGTTACGCTGTAGTTAATAAGACAAAGCACCACTCGCTCGTGCTGTTCGAGACGGACGTAGCAAGACACGATCTCGTCCATGTGGATCTTCATGCAGCAACCGTGGAGTATTGTACGCGAACAGATGATGATACTGCGTTTTATGCTCTAAAGATTCGCGTTGACGGTGACAACCACGGAAGCAACGACACGGAGATTCTCGTTCTGAATAGTAAACCCGAGCTGGAGCAGTGGCTGCTTGCACTACTGGATGCCGGTGCTACGTTCTTGGAAACTCACCCTGCCATTCTCTCATTTGCAGCCTCAACAGCTTCGCTGTACTCTCTTCGAGATACAGACGCGAATGGTAATACCTTTTGCCTGTCGGAGTTGCGTGGTCACGTGGCCTTGTTGACGAATGTAACCAGCGGTACCTGCATTACCAACGCAGAGCAACTTCAGCAGCTTGCGGAGTTGTCGTCAAAGTACGGAGACGCCGGTCTGAAAGTGGTGGCGTTCCCTAGCGCGCAGTTCGGAGACGCGGAATTCGACAACGATAAGGAACTGATTGAGCATTTCCAAGATCTATTTGGCGTCCGCTTCCCTGTGTTATCCACGCGGGATGTGAACGGGCCAAATGCGCGCGATACAATGCTTTTCTGCAAGACGCGCCTACCTGGAGCTGCGAAATCGGCAGCCAACGCACTCATTGAAAACAACTTTGTCAAGTTCCTCGTTACCCGCAACGGAACACTATTCAAGCGATACGGTCCCCGTGATTTACCTCTAAGCATGGAAAGCGACATCCAGAATCTGTTGCAGGAGACGCCATAATTGAGAATGTCAAAAAAATCAAACACAACTTTTGGATGAATAAACATGTTATTTTATATCCGCATCATGCCTGCTACGTTACGATCCGCGAACGAATGCGTAGCCCGTTGATACACTTGATGCGCTCGCCCCGAAGAGATTGTCTACATACGCTAAGTGGCACCGAGCAAAAATCTATAGGCGTCGGGCGATCCATTCTGCCCGCTTGAGGTCGCGATGCAGCGTCGAACTTGATAGGGTTGGGAAGACTCTAAAGGATACTCTAATCGAGGAAGGCCTTCTTGTATACGGCGTTAAGCTGCTCAACCACCAGAAGCACGATCATAGCGTTGGGCGCACAGCGCGTGTAGTACGTCCAGTAGCCGCGCCAGAGCTTGGACGGACCCTCCTTGGTAATGATCTGCTTAAAGCAGTCCGTCACGCCCGAGTACGGGTTCTTGCCCGTAATGGGGTCTACCTTCATGTTCATAAGGCGAGACTTAACCAGGTCAAATGGCAGCGACGTGAAGGCGCAGGCGAAGCCGGACACGGCGCTGGCACCCATGTTGGTGATGAAGCCGTGGCCATACTGAGCCGAGATCATCTCCTTGGCCTGGTCGTATGAGGCCATCATACCCAGGTTCATAGCGGCGCCACGAGCCACCAGCGGGATGCTGCCACGCCACAATGTGGCCACGCCCTCGGATCCAGCGATCTTGAAGATGGCGTCGAACACGTTCTTGTAGCCGCGCGATTCGCCGGCCTTGGCCAGTGTGTCGGCCTGCATTCGCACAAGGGCCACATCCATAGGGCAGCCCAGAGTGGCGGCAATGCCGCCGGTCACAATGGCCGACGCGGATTTGACGGCCAACGGCAGCGAGGCGCTCTCGCCGTTGGCGACGCGGCGCGCGATCATCTTGTCCGAGAAGGCGCGGTGCATACCCAGGCGGGCCGTGCCGTAGACCATCTGACGCGCCACAGCGGCCGACAGGCCAGCGTACAGGCCGGTGATACCCTCCTTGGCCACAACGGAGCGGGCCACGCCCAGGCCCGTGACGTTGGAGCCTGTTTGGCCGGCCAGCTGCAGATGCACCTTAACCAGGTCGATGGGGTGGATGGCCACGGCGGCGAACACAGCGGCCGAGCCTCCGCAAATGTATGGCTGCGCGGCCAGTGCGATGGGGGACTTGGTGGTCGTCGACATGACGGAGGTTTGAGCTGCTCGAGGAGGTTTCGCGAATGGAGCGTCACCCGAGGCCTGGTAGTGTTCGTCCTGCTGGATTGAGTAGGCGTAGGGCTTCTTGACATTTCACTGACTTGGTTTCAGTATGGGCAGTCGGATGTGTAACACATGGCTCACCACCAAGCAGAACTGAGCCACCATATGTGTCTTGTTTATAAATCGGAAATGACGGGGGATGAGTGTAGCAAGGGTGGTGAGACAGCACAAAACCATACTGAGAGTTTACATGTTGAATCGCAATCTTAGTCGAGGTATTGTATAACGGAGGTTTTGGCCGCAGGCAATGATTGCGAAATTGCCCACCGGTACACTGTTCCACTCTCTTTGTTGCAATGATACTGGTAGGCTCTCCTCACATACCAGCACAACCTGCCGCAAGACGCGACCAAGCAGCGGAACATTTCGATGAGATGGGAAATTTGGTGCTGCTCAAAGGTAAGGCGAGATTGGTGGCGCTCGATTATCGCTGCCGTTCACCAAGCAGCAAAAAAGTGCAGTTTTGGGTGTGCAACGCCGGGCTGCTTGTGCGCGCCGATGATTGCTATGCAGTGAGATTGTCGGCGCGGATTGGGAGGACTCTCGCTGGGCGTCTGGGTCTGCCCTTCGAGCGGCACTTGGTGGACTTTTGCAACTCGCCACTATACCTCCCGACAAAGTGTTTGAATATTTCGAAAGACAGCACGGCCACGCTCTCAGTCGAAACATCTCCGTTCGTGAATCTTCTCCTGACAATGCTCTTTGCTGCCAGTAGTCTCGACGCCTCAACTGGTGAAGCTGGAGTCCACGTCACACAACGGCTCGAGTCGCATCAACGACTTCGTGAATGAATACCTGTGTCTCGCTGATATCAAACTGCTCGCCGTGAGGTGATTGTCTTAAGTAAAGGCAAAATTGCTCGAGTAGCTTTTAAAGCAGGCCTCAACTCTAAGAATCCCTACCAGGAGTTGCTGCAGATCTTGAGTTAGGAGGCTTCAGACGAGCAACAACTTGCCAGTTCTTGTTATCGTCACTAGCACTACCTGGCTGGTATACGTTAAGAGCTCGATTTCCAAGCAATACGACAGAGCGACAAGCTCCAAAATAAACATGTTTCAATACTTTGCACACTACGCTACACGTTAATACTCAGTTCATCTACCTAGGATATCAATACACTGGAACTTTTGCGAAGCAGTCGCTCGCCTCTCGCACTGGCCAACCAGGCTCCTACATCGGCAGCACTCGGGCGTAGCTTCGGGTTGCGCGACACACATGCTGCGATCAAATGCGTAATTGGCAACGGACAGTCAGGCGAGAGCTGTGGACGAAGTCCGTCATCGATAATGCGCCGCATCAAGCGCAGAGGGTGTTGTACCAGTCGTTCAGAAAGAGAATTTGGATCGTGATACGGTAGAGTACACGTGTCCAATTCACTTAGAAGTACACCAAGCGAGTAAATATCCACTTTCTCGGTATACTCCTCCCCCAGTAGCAATTCTGGTGCAGTCCACGATAAAGTCCCAGCTGCTGCTGTCGCAGTGAGGTTTGTTTCGTCATCGGTACCGCTACATTTGCGTCGACTAATGCCAAAGTCACACAGTTTGGCATCCAAAGAGGAAGAGAGCAACACGTTGCGTGACTTGACATCCCGATGCAACACCATGGGCGTTAAAGCGTGCAAATAGGCCAATGCACTCGTGACAGCCTGAGCGATTGCCAGTTTCTGCTTGGACCATGTGAAGTGACTGGAATGTACCGAGTGAATCAACCCGCCAGCAGCAGCTCCAAGACCGCCAGCAAACGAGCCCGAGGATGTCGCTGCAACGGCCACAGCTTCGTCCACCTGCGGTAATCCCCCGGATACTGAACTAGAGCGTCTTACAATCGTGTTCCCCGAACTTATCGGAGCTGTTGAGGTGGCTTTACTGACATTTTGCTGCGCTAGAAAATGCTGCAAGTCGCCACCTTCCATGAATTCCTGCACCATGACCACGTGCTCCAATGTGTTCCACGCGATACCATTTAAAGTCACAATGTGAGGATGTTTCAACTGCGCCATGAGGTAGATTTCGGCAAGAAACATCTCCATTTCATGCAACAAGCGACGCTTTTCCGGCACCAGTTGCTTGAGTGCGACCTGGCTGTTACTGTGCAGTGCAAGCCAAATTTCACCCGTTGTGCCCCGAGACAGCGGACGAAGCAGTTGCAGTTCGCCCATTGGAACACGTAGA